GTGTGCCTGGCTCAGAGCTCCACATGCTGCCCCTAATTCAAATCTGGGGATGAGGTGGCAGGGGACCGTGGAGGGCAGGCAGTGGGGATTGGGGGACTCGGTGCCCATTCGGATTCCAGGAGCCCCTGTCTGGTTGGGGAATTCATCTCAGGTTGACCTTGAGCTTCTGTCTCCACCAGCATGGCAGACACCGTGCCCCACAACCCTACTTTATGGACCCCAAAGTAGGGGGTATAGGTAGGCAGCTGGGTCTCCCATTCCTGGAAACATCGCCTTCCCAAGGTGTGTCACTTGGGTGATCTCTCGTTACTTGGAACTAGCGAGAGAGGCCAGCTGCTTGCCAGGTTTGTTGTTTGGGTGTCGTAGACATGTTGTGCACAGCGCAGAGATGCGGTAAAAACAGGACGTGGCCCTGGCTGCACTGTGGGTGACAGTGGTGTAGATGGGGCAGGCGGTGAGCCCCTGACCGCCCCCCATACATCCATATGGGGCCTTGCTGTGGCTCTCTAGGTGACTCACAGCAGGTGACAGCATCCGTCTGTGTGGGCACTGTGGCATCATCGTAGTTTTAAAGTTATTTGGAATACTTTATGAATATTTATTGTTTGTGCCTCCTAGATTCAGTTTTACTCATTCTCGAAGGGTTAAGCACCAGCCACTTCAGCTCTCTGTGCAGCGTTCCTTGACTGTCACTACCAAGATCTTGAGCATTAGTTACTGATTTTGTGGCTCCAAAGAATTTTGAAAATGTATTCAGGTAATTACCTGAAAGTGCCAGGTGTATGTTACAGCTTTTTGCCTTGAACATTGGCCTCTGTTTATGAAAAAGAGCAAGGGGACAAACATTGCAAACACCTTAAGCCACCACCCCTATCATAGCCCTCCCTCCCCAGCATCAACTTGCTTTAGTTTCTCTTCACACCGGGACAGTTTTGAACATAAGACTGAAGGACCTTGATAAAGAAGTGGGAGCTATACAGAGAAAAGGGGGAGGGGAAACGGATCATCTTGCGATTTGAGTTTTATGTTTGTTCTAACTCTAACTCAGGATCTCCTCAGCCTGATTCTGAGGGACTTGGTCATCTCAGAGAATCTGCTGGAAATTCTCAGCGCCTCTGTGGGAGTCTTAGCCCTTGGCACAGTAAAATGAGGGCCTGTCTCACAGGAGGCATTGAAGTAGATTTATTAAATAGCTTTCTAACTAGGGTGTTCGCAGATCAGCCACACACTCCTGGCCCATAGTGGCTTTCTTACTTTTGAAATAAGGATGACCATCTCTGACTATGCTTGTTCCTCTTTGAATTGAATTGGAAGAGAAAGCAGGGCAGCTGCCTTGTCATCTTTCACAGGCATTGAATTTTGTTTGCAAAGTTCCTTGGTGTTGCGTGTGTGGCCATATGTCAGGCACTGTACTGAGTAGTGGCATCAGATCTCATTCAGCTTTTACAACAACTCTACCAGGTAGACACGGGGTTTAGAGAGACAGAAACAAGGAAGATAGATGGAAGGAGGCAGAGAGACAGACAGACAGACAGACAGACAGACAGACAGACACTTCCTTGAATTCATAGTCCTCATCCTTGGTTCCTGTGTGCTGTAAGCCTATTCTAAGGCACTGATGTAGCAGAAATGATATACAAGGGCGGGTGGTTTGAAAGAAAGCCCCTCCCCCTGGCCCTGAGCTCCCATTCTGAGTAGATAGCCCAGTGTTCCCTGGCAGCAGGTTCACAGGAGTGGCCCTGGCCTGCTCTCGCATACTTGCCGCTGCGGGCTGGTGGTCCTCATGCGTTTTCTGAGATTGTGCTCACCACTCTCATGGGCTCGTCATTGCAGGAGACACAAAGTCCTAGAAGATAACAACCCTTCCCTAATGAACTTAGGTGTGGTGGGGCCAAGGAATGTGCACGTTCTCCCCCGGTAATGGGCAGAATGGAAAGACGGGACCCTGTGAGGGTCTCAGGCAAGAGGCATGCCAGTATTTGTGAGAACCAAATCCTTCTGTGACTGAAGACCTTCAGGTTAGGTGGAGCAGCAGACAGATCCTGCGTTTGGCAGATGTGAGTTCTCTCTTCTTGCTTGGCAATCAGGAAACTTGGACAGACCTACCTGGTAGCCAGTCAGTCAAAAATGAGCACCGCGCCCTTGTAGGACTGCCTTTTTTATTTTTTCCCTCCTAAAACCAGACAGACCTTAAAACTTCTAGCCCCTTTCCATGGTCTTCACCATGCTGCAGATCTTTGACTGGACAGGAAAAAATCGAGTTGGGAAGGCTCAGGTGTGAAAAGTAACACTGGCATGGGCAGCTATCACCAAGCTCTGACATTTGTTTAAAAGCACCCTTATTTGTATATCTTAAGAGGAAGGCAGAGAATTAATTTGTACATGCCACATCCACCTTACTGCTGTCCAAATGCTGTCTGCACCTTTTTCTGTACAAGGAGAGAGAGAGAGAGAGAGAGAGAGAGAGAGAGAGAGAGAGAGAGAGAGAGAGAGAGACTTCCCCCACACTTCTTGTTAGCCCCTATTTAAAAGGTAGCTCAGGATTGGTGCTTCTGTATGCACCTGCTCCATGTTACCAGGTAGCTCCTCCCAAACAGTGACAGTGAGAATAATTAGTAATCTTACCACTTGCTAGGTCTGCCCAAGTCCTTCCTGTGGGCTGTCTAAGAGCTAGGGCATGACTCGTGATTGGAACTCGCATCTCCTAGCTTGTGACCATGTGGGTCTCTGGCCTAGGACCAGAGACGACACTCGGCTCTGCGGCTCCCTAGCATTCCCGGGGCCTGGTCCTCAGTCAGTTGAGATTTCCTGTGATTCTGGAGCTGAACTTAGTGGCCAGCAACTAGAGAGATGCCTGACACAGCCAGGATCGGTAGCCACTGGTTTTGCTGCCCACTGCCAGCCCTGCCTGTCTCCATGCTGGGTGCTGTACACTTGCTTCCCTCCACTGCTTCTGGCCACCTGTTTCTGTGCCACCTGATTGGTCCTTGGACCCCTTGGCAGTAGTGGGGCTATGTATGTTTCTCCCTGCTGTTCTCACTAGTCTTCTACACTGTGTACTGTCTGACATTTGCCTGCTTTATTTTCATATTAAGGGGCATACATCTTTCTAACCAAGTAAAAAACTTCTGGAAGGTGGTCTAATCATTTTAGTCTCTTTTTGCCTCCTCTCTATCTCTGTCTGTCTGTCGGTCTGTCTGTCTGTCTCCCCCCTCCCTCTTTTTCTCTTTTCCCACCAATGTGGGAACTAAGCTGTTTATTGCTTCTCAAGTAGTACACAGAGTTGTCCTCTAAATAATCCTTGGTCCATGTCTGTGAGCTGCTGGCACCGGCCTGGGAACAGCAGGCAGCCCTTTGGCCTGGTGGACATGGCCCAGCCAGTGTCCAAGGTGGAGATTCTGATTTCCAAAGTCTCCTCTGCTTTGGTGACTTTTAGACTTAATTGTTTTAATTGCAAAATGGAAACCAGCCCTCTGTGAGCCATGAGCTCCGCTTTTGCTCTGAAAGAGAACTGTTGTGCATGGGAATTTGTGCACCAGGCCGTGTGGGTGTGTTCCTTCTCTGTAGCTCTTTCTAGGCTGATTAGGAAGACCATACTTTCTTTTGTAAGCATACCCGTAAAAAGCTAGCAACACCTGTACAAAATGCCTTCCCCACAATTAACTGTGGCAAAAAGTGCTCTTCCTGTATTAGTGTGTGCCTTTCTTGCCCACTTAAAAGAAAAAAAAAAAAGGCAAGAAACATGACGAGAGAGCTAACTGCTTCAGTGGTCCCAGAACTCAGAGGCGCTAGTGGGCAGCACTAGAACCTGACTTCTTTTCTTTTAATGCAATTCCTTTTCCTTGATGTTAATGCAAGTTGCGCCGTCCTAAAAGTAATAAAAGGAATAAAAGGAAATAAAGACACGTTCTAAAATGAAACTTGACTCTAATCCATTCATCATCTAATACTAGCCTCTTTATCTTTGCTGGTACCTAATCTGGTTAAATGTCCCTGTTGTAGGATTTTAGTCAAAATCCTCTACTGGGAATAGGGTTTTTTGCAATTGGATTACTCTCAGTAAATGGCCCAGTAGTTCGCTTGTTTCAGCTTAATTTTTTCTTTGTGATCTTGCTGGGCTGAGTTATATAGCGCAGCATAAAGGGAGGGCAGTGCACTGAGCCGGCGGAGGGGAGGAGGAGAGTGATTGGAGAAGCCTAGAGGTGGCAACTAGAAACATATTTAAAATGCTTTTCCCCCTCTCTTTGTTTCTATTGATCCACCTGCCGAAACATGAAGCTGCTTGTAGTTTGTTTGCTAGAACTGCCCACTTCTAAAATGTGTGCCTTTTATTAGCCCAATTCATCATCATCCAGTTAATTTATTAGTGCTCCCTGATGACTTCCTAATGAAATTCCTAATGAATCAGGGCTGCTGTAATCTGCATAAAATATGCAGGTGCTTGCCAAGCAGTTCAGAGCTTTCTGGTAAAGTTCACACTCCCACCCTAGGCCCCAAAGCTGCAGGTGGGGCTTTCCCTCCCCTGCCGGGGCAGGGCTGCAGCTTGCCCACTTTTCCTCAGCGCAGGGAGGGCTTAGCAGGGGGAGAGGGGCTGGCTGGTGGGATCTGGGGCCTGCCGGGTTTCTTGTAAATGAAGTCTTTCCCGGCTGATCCCCGGGAATGCTGTCTGCCTCCTAGAGGTCCCACCACAGGGCCCAAAGTAGGAGCTTGCCCCCTGGGTGCAGGAGCGCAGTAGGCCTGGGGGATTAAAGTCCCCACTTCCGACTCACCTGCTGCTGGGAAAAGTGCACATGCTTGGGCTCCATGACAGGGTGGGGACGAGGAGGCATTTGAAAAGCTGGGCCAGTGGGGAGGTGAGAATGAGAATGGCACAAGCGGCGCCATTTTAGACCACCTCTTTTAAATGGGTTGCGGAGCTGGGTGCAGCAGGGTGGGTGCAGGCCACAGGGGAGGGCGTGGCCACTGGCCTGACCCGTCTCTGTGTTCTTTCCTTCCCACAGTCGAACAAAGTGCCTGTGGTGCAGCACCCGCACCACGTGCACCCGCTCACGCCGCTCATCACCTACAGCAATGAGCACTTCACCCCGGGAAACCCCCCTCCACACTTACCAGCAGACGTAGACCCCAAAACAGGTAGGTCTAGTGGGTGGAGAGCGGGCGGAATGGTGGTGGAGGGGTCATAAAGCCTGCTGAGGGTACGGCTTCCTCTTCCCCTTGAAAGAAATCCATCCGTAGGCGCGAAGACCCTCTCAGAAGGGGCATCCGGAGAAGCTGGCCATGAGTCCCTTCCTCAGGAGGGACTAGATCTCTGAGAATCTCAAGCAGACTTGGAAGCGTCTGCACAGCCCCTCTCCACATCTTGGGAGGACAAGACATCTAACTGCATGGCTTCTCTGAGCTCTGGTACCCTGGCAGGGATTTGCTGGTACAAGCATCTGCTAGTTCTTTGGGAGTCTTCTCCCCTCCAGTAGGGAGGATTGTCGAGCCCGTTTTATAGATGGGAAACTGGAGTCTGACATAGTTGCACCATTTTGTCATAGAACCACTGGTGAGACCCCAGGCAGAAGCTACCATGCTCTCTGCACTCATGACCTGCCCTATCCCGCTTGTACACTGATAGCTTCTTCCCCAAAGCAGAGACGAAGAGAAGTCAGGGTTACCAGGCGTCCTCCCTACAGCCAGATCGAAGACCAGCATAGGCTGCCACAGCAGAGTGCTGTGGGGAATGGCCGGAGCCAATGGGTTTTGGGGGGCTGGACATGGCGCTGGCTGGGAGCTCCTCCATCCAGCATGCCATGCATTCCATGGCACTTGTCAGGGGTGGCTGGAGGGGGCTGAGGTGGGCTGCCTAGAAGAGACGGCCTGTGTGGGCCCAGCCTGGTGCCTGTGCGGTAGAGCAAGTGGCCAGGCCCTGCAGCCCCACCCCGGCTCTCCAGTGAATGGCAGCATCAGTGTCTCATTTGAATAATGGCAGTACAGGGAATAGCTTTTAAATGGTTATCATAAAGCACATGATTAACGTCTGTGGACTGTTTGCTTTTCCTTGCGAACACTCTCTCAAGAGTGCAAATGGCTCGGTGTAGGGTCCAGGCCCAGCTAATCTGCTTGGTTTTTGTAATAGAGCAATGTCTGTGTGGAAATGTCACCCAGGGAGACTTAAATTTACAGATGAAAAGCTTCCAGGATGAATTTTTAAAAAAATGAAATAATTCTCATCCGTGAGCACATGGCCCATTCCCTCAGGGTCCGTGTCCGCTTCTCTCGGTGAGAACTGCTCCTAGCACGCCAGCGTCCTGAGTGAGTTCTGGTGGCAGGATGTGCTCCTCAGGAATAGGAAGCGTGTGGTGGGCAGGCTCCTGGCCTGTGGTTGGCAGGCAGGACCATGCGCACAGGCAGAGCCATCCTGGGGGTTTGGCTTCCAGAGCCCAGCACCTCAGGCTCCCGCGTATCCCTGTCTGCAGTTGCAGCTGTCCCAGGGATGGGTCGCCAGATGGCACGTAGTGGCTGTGCAGCTCATCCTCCTGGTGGAGACGTTAACATTCTGGAGGACGTACCTCTTGAACGATAGCAGAGTGACTAAGCTGTGGCTCAATAGGTGTGAGAGAGCAGAGGAGACCCTGTCATGGAGATGAGTTGGTGGAATTAGAAGGGGTGACGGGCAGGTTTCGAGGGCAGTTTATGTTACTTGCTTACCGCCTAGGTGCCAATGGAGGTGTGACTTATTCACCTACTAGGTGCCAGGAACTTTAGTTTTTGGTTTTTCTTTAACATCAAATAGTCATGTCAAGTACCCGAAGCCAGAATGCCCAAGGTGGCATTTTCAAGCCTTCCTGCATTGAGCCAAAGTGCTAGTTCCTCTAGAGAGGTAACTAATTGTTTCACTTGAGGCTGTAGGCAAAAAAAAATGGGATTGAAAATTAACTAGGCATACCTCCTAAGGCCAGAATCATGGATGAGCTCCTGGGAAGGTTCCAGGAGAGATGCCTGTCTTCATCCTTCCCTACTTCTGTCTCCCGGCTGTGGCTCTTCCTTCTCTCCATTCTGTGTACCTAAAATACTGCTTGTCCTTCCAGGAATCCCACGGCCTCCACACCCTCCAGACATATCTCCGTATTACCCACTATCACCTGGCACCGTAGGACAAATCCCCCATCCGCTAGGATGGTTAGTACCACAGTAAGGAGTTCCATTTTTTAATTTCCTTTTTGTTTCTTATGTGGGCATGCTTATTATTTAGTCTTTGCTCGTGTGTGTGTGTGTGTGTGTGTGTGTGTGTGTGTGTGTATGTACAGAGCTAGTGACAGGGATGGGGGAGGTGCTTGTGAAGTGGGAGTGGGGATGCATCTTAGGCCCCTCTGATGAGTTATGGGTGGTAGAGCCCATGGTTCCCAAAGACTCTATGGACAACAATGCCTTTACGATCATCTGAGCATCGCTTCTCCATAGGGAGGCTGGTATGGCTCTTCTGCTCGGGGCAGCCCACCCTGGCATTGTGTCAGTGGGCTGAGGCCTCCCTTTTAGGTGCTGCCTGTGTGAGGGGGGAGGGGAGTGGGGCTAGAAGCAATGTCCTTATGACATCCCAGGGTAGGAGTGGGCTTGTTCTCTCTGAGCCCAGTCCTACCCTGACCATTACTGCCAAAGGTGACACTGGGAAGTTTTGTCTGTTGAAAATCTCAGCACCTCTCTGAGATTCTTTGCATGTTGAATGCGTCACCCAACTATGAAATGTGGGAGGGACAGCTGGCAGCCTCGCTGTGGTGTGTCATTCAGGACCTTTCTGCCTGTCTCAATAATTTGACTGCCTTCTACAGTTGGAAGATATAATTTGATTTAACATGAAAGCAGAAAGCTCTTTAACGCATAAGCGTAGCATGTGGAGTGTGTGTCCATATACGTATATGCATGTGTTCACAAGCATGACTGTAATATGTTTTGTGATTGTTTCAGTGTATATATTTCTCCATGTTTGTCATGATCTCTAGGCTAAAAAACAGCACAGTGTGTTACATGCTAAAATAAATAAGTCCAAGTAAAACTGTAAAATGCCAGTCTTTGGTGGTAAGACAGCCTTTTATAGCCTTAAGGAAGATAAAATTTTGGAGAGTGGTCTACCTCCAATTTTCTGCTTATTTTTATAGGTAAGAAGCTTCTGTTCTTTTTTAAAGAAAAAACAGATTGGTGTATGTAGTGCCCATACTGGGCACCAGTCCTGGTCAGGCGCAGCTTCTCCTTGGGTTTTGTTTTTGCTTGCTTGGTAGGACTGACATGAACATGAGCTTGCGACTCATTTCTTCCTTAGTAGATGGGGCTAACCCTTGACAGATGTCAGTTATCCTTTGCCCCATTTGGCTAACTGTGAGATCCTGAAGCCTAGATAAAAAGGAATAGCCAACTCAGACAACCCTCTGTCAGGAAAAGTTGTGTGTCTTTCATGAGGATGCTATTTTGCATGTTGCTGTATTTTTTAATTATTGTAATGAGGTGTGATTGTCTATTGGTTACCCACAATTCTTCTTGGGGACTCTCCCCCCGGTAACTCTTGTCAACACTTGTTAATTTGACAAAAGGCTACAAATTAAGCTCTGTTAATTTAATGTTTTCTCACCGAGATCTAAATACCGAAAGAGGCCCAAAGCGCAACTGAAGTCCTTTGATTCACTGTACTTTATTTTGGTATAAATTTACATTCATTATTGTTTTCCTTTGGATGTGTAGCCCTCAATTAGTGTGATGGCTCCATTAAAGCAAGCGAGACTTCGCCTTTAATTATTACAACAAAACACCTAGTTTCAGCTTGGGGAGAGGGTCTCTATTGACATAAGCAGAGGTTATAAAATTTAATTAGCCATTCCTATCAGATTTATGGCATTCAAATTGTTCTGTGTTTCTTTCCTTTGATCCTTCCTGTACAATCCCCAAGATTTTTGTTCTGATCAAATGAGAATAAAGCTTACTATGCAGAGAGAACTTTTCCCTGTTCTTCCTTTCCTTGTCCCCACCCCAAGCCTTGTTTCAGTCTCTCACTTTAGACCCCTTCTTTGTAGGCAAGGTCAACCAGTGTACCCAATCACAACAGGAGGATTCAGACACCCGTACCCCACAGCACTGACCGTCAACGCTTCCATGTCCAGGTGAGTCCAAGAACCAGGGCTTTCAGCCTCCCAGAAAGTCCTCTAGCTGGGCATCAGGCCACCCTGGGACTGTGGCTCCACGAGGCTTTAACAGGTCAAAGCTGAAGGGCGTTAGGCTTTGCTCCTAGAAAATACTGACCACTTGCCTGAACTTCCAAGTTAAGTGATGCCTTCCTCTGTTGGATTTTTATGAGCCAATCAGTGGAGCAGCATATTTTCAGAAATTAGGAAGGTGCAAGAAAGCAGTTAAGACACATGGAGCTTTGTAAGGCATCATTTCCCTGTTGCCTCATGTCGGATAAGAACAGAGAAGGTGTTAGGACACAAATAGTTTAAGGAAAGATTGTTCTTCCTTGCAAAATTCAAATTCTGATCGAGGTCAGCCAGAAAGCCAGACACTCTGCTCTCCCCATGCGGAGCACAGTGCAGGAGAGCCTTAATGCGAGGCACATGGGGACTTGGAAGTTTTCTAATAGTGCTCTTTTGAAAGGTCAAAAAGAAAAAGATGAAATTGTTTTCAATGATATGTTTTACTCACTCCAGTACAGTATGGCCAAAATATTATCATTTCAACATGGTATCTCTGTGCAACAACTATTAATGGAATTTTACTCTTCTTAGCGCTTAGTTTCCTTAGTCTGATGTGTATCTTACAATTGTAACACAGTTCAGTTGCCACATGTACTTGGTGGCTGCCATATTGGCCCGTGCAGCTCTAAATCCTCAAAAGTTTAACAAAAAGTCTCTGTGTGCATGTCATTCGTGTATGTTTATATTCAGGTACATCTATACAACATGCACACGCTCCCATGTCCCTGTTTTGTTCCCTCTAATTAATTCTGGCTAATTTTTCAGTCACTGCTAGTTTATTTACAAACTGGTTGGCAGCAGTATGTTTAAGTAGTCACTAATTGCTCCTAATGATAGTTTTATTTTCTGTTCATCTGATTTTCAGTCAAGTTAATTAAATCGGTGGAGGTTTAGACTTTCCTGATGGTCTGAAACAACCAATCCATTTTGATGATGGCACCTAATTAAATTAGCATGCACTACACAGTGAGGATGCTGTCCCCGGCCTTTTCCTCATTCTCTGTGGCCGACGTGGGGAGCCAAGACCAGGGAGAGGGCTGGCAATGCAGGCCACTGTGCTGCTTGCCACTTCCGGGACAGCGGTTTTGGCAGAGGGAAAAGCACGCATTGCGTCCACCGAGGAGACACACCCTGGCATAGCTGGCACTTGTAATTACGCCGTGGATATCATAGAGTCATAAAGAGCCATTTCCCTTGTGGGCTGCAACATCTCAATTTCAAAACCCACACCAGCATTAGCGAAGTGGGAAAATACTTTTTGTACTCCCCCATCCAGGGGGAGGAGGAAGATTGCGCTCATTAAATAATGTCATGGCAGCCTGCAGAGCATGGGCGCCATCAGGAGACCTCCCCAGAGGACGCTGCTGCTGACCCGCAGCGCGCCCTGCCCAGTCCCGGCCCTCTATACCACACCTGAGCACCTCAGGCACATCCAGTGGTCGGAACTGGTGACATAATGGTAGGATAGGGATTGGGGTTAAGCTTATCGATTGAATTATCATTAGGAGGCTAGTCGATGATTTATAGGTGGGCAGGGGACTCCAAGGAAAGGATGACAACAGAGGGAAGAAAGGTTAGGGGCTCAAGGTGTGTGGGGGTGGGGGAGGCGGCCGATTCCCCAGGTAGGCTGTATGAAAGGTAGCTAGTTAAAAAGCGTATACAGCAAATTAAATACATTATTGTGGTAATAGGGCGACAGAAGTATAGGTCTATTATACTTATGGCAGTTATAGCAAATGTAGGCAGCTTGCCCTGTTCCGGAACACCCTTTGATATTCATTCTATTCAGCAGCGGGGCCAGGACTTCTCAGAATTAAGTGATGGGTCATTATACTTTAAACACCATGGAGAAGCCTAGATTGGCAATTAAACAGCTCTTGCTGACACTCACTTGTGCCACCCTGTGACCCCCTTTAGATTGAGATGTTGGAGCTCCGGGCCCTCAGCCTGCTAAATTGGTGCAAGGCTCTTCTCCTGACGAGAGCGGGCTCTGAAATCTGCCGGCTTCAAAGGGAGTGAGATCATGTATAAACCATAATGTGGGTGCACCGTGGCTCACAAAAAATAAGGCAGGAAGAGATGAAATGTTACAAGTGCAAGGGGGGAAATGAGAGAATAATGACAAACCCAATGCAACTCAAAGCAGGATTGTTGCACGGCAAAATGCATCCCACTGCTTGTGCATGAAATCAAGGCCGGCGGATGACATCCAGTTAACAGGAACGCGTCAACAGCGAAGGAAGGTGCGAGTGAGAAAGAGAGAGGCCCCTGAGACAGCCAGAAACAAAAATTAGTTGTCCTTAACAAGTTAAGATTCATCATTATATTCTGGCTCGGAGCCATGAAAGCAGACGGGGGTATATAATGAGCTGCCTAGAATTTTTAGGGTGTTTATTGCATTTCGTGAGAGCACTGCTTGCAGGAAGGAATTTCTCGAGCGGAGGTATGCGGACAGGCCGCATGCACATTTCTGCAGTCTCTGCCGCACGCTCTTCAGACGTATGAGTGTGTGTAGCACAGGGGAACTCACAAGTGCCTGTTCTTCACGGCCGCCCCAGAAATCTGTCCCTGCCTCAGAACATACCCAAACTGCGCTATCTTCCTGGAATTTGGTGTTCGCCTGTGTATGTGCACACGCAGCGTTTTGCTTTCTCTCTCCATCATGTCTGTACGCACATTCTCATTCTGCAGGAAGGGGACATGTATTTAAGGAATGTCAAGCCTTTAACCTACAGCACAGGCTGCCACGCCACCCGCACCTTCACTCGAGCACTGCCGAACACATGTTTATAGCTTATAGTTCCTCTAGCCTTCAGACAGTGGGGAAGGGTTAGGGTGTAACTTGGAGCCCAAGTACTTCCCTCTGCCCACTGGTTTCTTATTTTGTGAGGGGGAGGGGTGGAGGTGGTTATCCCCCTCATCCTGTGCCCAGCCCCACTCCTTGCACTTCCTTCTCTTTGCCTCTCTCCTGTCTTTCCTGTTCTTCCCCTCCCGGCCCTCCCCTCCCTACACACACGCACACTCTGAAAGGACTTGTGTTTCCTGTGAAGAAGCCGTGTCGTCGCTTCCAAGCCCCAGCACTGGCTCCCACTGGCAGAGCAGCTGTAGGAAAGGGCCATCTTAGAGTGGTATTTTTGAATCAGGTGCTTAGAAGACCCCTCTAAAGAAATCAACATCGTTCACTGACATTTTTCTCTATGATGATCTATGTAGATTCTCTGTGTTCTTTGATGTTCCAATCATTTTTCAAATTAACATTTATACATTATTTTGGCCAAATGGAATCTATGTCCATTTTACTTATGGAAAGAACCTTAGACATAAGTAGCAGATTCTGTTGGAATAACTGCCCTGATAAGTCTCATTAGGACCTCTGATGCCCACTGAAATGGGCTCTCTGAGAAGGAAACCCCTCTCCTCCGGTGGTGTGGGGCCATCCTGGCTCAGGTTTGTTAGGCAGCGCCAGTGGCCGCGACCTGGGCTCCCGTTCGTTGGGACAGCCCATCTGCTCGCTCACGCAGCCTTGCTGGAGCAGAGCGTGAGTTGCACTTCTGTGTCGCTTGGGATTCTGCCCTTTCTGCCCCTTACCTCCTTCTTTCTACAATGTGCACTATTACAATTTCTCCAAAGAAGGGCGCCTCCTTCCCAGGACAGATCGTGGGACCCGAAGCAGGATCAGAAACCATAAACGCCCTTTGCCCACTCCAGTTGTCAGTGTGCAGATGGGCCATGCTCTTCATTGCGCATGAATTTGCCTGGCTGGGAAAGGTCACGTTAGGGACTGTTGTGTATTTTAGAGAACTTTTCCAGAAGTGCATGGTGTTAGAGGAGAAAACACAAACCATGTTCTTTGTTTATAATTTTTGACACTCATGTGCAAGGCAGACAGCCTGTTAAGTAAGAGTGACTGGGAAGACCTAAATTCTGCAGAAGATAAGACTTAAGAATCAGGAATTGAAAGCTCCACTTGAGTACGTGCTTTTATTGCAACTTGCTATGAAATGACACCAGCTTATTTAAAACATCTGTGACTTACGAGGAGACCAAGCAGGGACGATTTGAATTTTACCGTATCTTTCTTCCTCATTCTCTCCCCTCCCTGTCAAATGATGGTCCCAGCGACAAAAGAAAAATAAAAATTTTATTGCCCTCCATCAACACAATGAGGCCTAATGAGGCAGGCGCAGCATTGTCAAAAATGTATGTATATTTCAACCGCGTTAATATTTTATTTAGCTGTCAATATACAACAAAAGATTTCACCTTTCATTCTTGAGCTGATTAGGCCTTCGGAAATTGTCTTCTTAGATGCCACTAATAATAATAATAATAATAATGCCTCCAAACACAAGTGGACCTGCGATTTCTAGCAGGCCGTCAAGCCCGCCGTTCCGCCCAAGTACACCACTTGACTTTGTCTTTTGCCCAAGATGTTTAAAAATCATAATGTCTCGTGTCAGGAGCAATAACATAGGGGAAGGTTGGCTTTAATAACGTTATGAGAATCATTATGTTTAATTTATCACTAATTAATGCTGACAGGTTTCATAGGCCTTGTGTTGCTTTCATGTGAATGTTACGTGCTTAGTTTTTTTCTCTTGTTATTTGTGTGTACACATCTCTCCTCATTCATGCATTTTGATTCTGACAATTTACACAGCTTCCTGTCTTCTAGGTTCCCTCCCCACATGGTCCCACCACATCACACCCTCCACACGACCGGCATCCCCCACCCGGCCATAGTCACCCCAACAGTCAAACAGGAATCCTCCCAGAGTGACGTCGGCTCGCTCCACAGCTCGTAAGTGCCACCCAGGAGCCCTAGTGCGCAGCAAGGCCAATGTGGGGGCTGCGCAGTACCTGCCGGACCGCGGCTGATCCCGCGCAGCTGCGGGCACCACTCTAGATGGAGTCGGAGTGAAGGTGCTGGGCTTCCTGACGGAGCCCCTGGAGCCCCGGGGAAGGGTACTGTTCCTGTGGACTGGGATTCATAAGAACTCGCCCGTCTCTAACCCCGAAGTCAGGCACCTGGCGGGTAGAGGCCTCAGTGCCTTCCCCTCTGGCTGGGAAAACTGTCTATTAGTGAAACTGGAGGAAGTGGTTACAGAGCCTCTCACTTGCCCCACTCCCTCCTTCAAGCTATTTTCGTTGTTCCCTCTTTCTGGGGTGGAGGAGACCGAAAGTGGAAGCACACTTTTTGTTAAAAACTGCTAGGCTTAAATGTGAAAGAGACCCAAGTGTGGGTCTGTGCCTCGCAGGGAGTTGGGCTACATGGTTGTTTATCAGGCTGTCTGTGTCTGCCTGTTTATGTCTGTCCAGAAAGCATCAGGACTCCAAAAAGGAGGAAGAAAAGAAGAAGCCCCACATAAAGAAGCCCCTTAATGCGTTCATGTTGTATATGAAGGAGATGAGGGCGAAGGTCGTGGCTGAGTGCACATTGAAAGAAAGCGCGGCCATCAACCAGATCCTGGGGCGCAGGGTAGGCAGCCCCTCCACAGGAAGGCTGGTTTGGGTGGGTGGTCACATGTCCCTGTCCCCGTCTCCCAGAGAGTCCTTTTCTCTCAGCCACTTTTGAAACCTTGACAGTCATTCCCTTCCATGCTGGAACGACATTCAATACAGCCACACCTCTGGAGCTGGCAAACTGTTTTGCCCAAGCACCCCCATTGTCACCGTTATATTTGTAGATGGCTCCATTCCCCTCTGGTTGGCAGGGGGCAGTTCGTGATATTTTGCATGTCTGTCCCCTGCCCCATGTGTCCTCCAGTGGCATGCACTGTCCAGAGAAGAGCAAGCGAAGTACTACGAGCTGGCCCGGAAGGAACGACAGCTTCACATGCAGCTCTACCCCGGCTGGTCTGCTCGGGATAACTATGTAGGTGAACTGCTTTCCACTAGATAGACTTCTGTCTGTCAAACGGTGGAGGGTGGTGTGTCTGTGCACATAGAGGGAATGGTGACTGCCAGCTGGAATCAGGCTCCTGGGCCGTATTCTGCTCACTGCTGCGACCATTAGCTTCTGGCCATATGGCTGACCTGGGCAGGCTCATGCTGGCTTCCAGTATGGCTCTGACAGTCTGCAGTCAGGCTTGTGTGGACTGGGGAGGTAGTCCAGTGTCCCAGCTCAGGAGCCGTGAGATGCGTGAGGGCTCTGCACACCTCCATCCTAGCCCGCTGCTTAGTCCCCTAGAGTACACGTTGAGGGGCTTTGGTTCCACATCAGGCACGTACTTCAGCTGCAGCAGTCAGCAGTATATGTGGCTTTACACAGACTATGGGTAGAGGTGGAGGGAGAGAGCTGAGCTCTTCAGGTCTTCAGTAGGACCTGCACCCTTAGGAAGGAAAAATCAGGACAGTTGCCTCCTTGGTGTGGTTGAAGTTGGTTGGTACCTGTTTTATCTTTAAAGGGGCATGACGGGAATTTCCCTGAAAATAGCCTGTGGAAGTCATTCTTGCCAAGATGGATGAAAGGACTCTGCTCCAGGGGTTCCTGAAGGGTGTGCTGTGTGATGCCTATATTTCTAGGCTTTGTGTTACCTACAGGATTTGCATGATTTTTCCCTCTTGGCTTTTAGGAAGCACCATCATGAAATACTAGCTTTTACTAATTGCACCAACATCCACAGTTGCCCTCTTCCTAGACCAGCGATGGTGCACCCGTTAGAACTGTCAGTGGTACAAGCAGTGATACAAGCATGTAGTGGCACATGTACCATAGGTTTGCCGCCACTGTCCTATACACTTATTCTCCTCTAGTGGCACTGATTCTGGTCTTGACCTTTGTCTGGTAGTTCAAATTCTGGGCTGTCTCTTAGATGCCCTAGATCGGTGATGGCGGACCTTTAACAGCTTTCATTGATAATGAACAGCTGGCTTCACTGGTGTAGATGAATGGAATGGCTCTAACTTTTCAATGTACTTTGCATTCATGTCGTGATTTTGCACTTGTCCTGTGGAGAACCAGATGTCACTCCATCATGGGCCTCCTGCCTCTCCTTCTGGGTCCTGGTGCCACAGAGAGCTCTGAATCCCATCAGCACTTGGGTTCCGCTCTCTTGTTGGGAGCATCCATGGTGCAGAAACTGCAGGGCAGATTGAGGTCATTAAGCTTTACCAGTGGTGAACCCTCGATGCCTGGGATGTTTGTTGTGTGGGCTCAGAATTAGGGTGAGCACTTCTGCTGTCAGGCCCTGCCATCCAACCAGCCCCAGCATCTGCATGACCACACGGCCCCAGTGAGGGTTGCCTCTTCTTGCTCTGAGGGGTTTCCCCTCTTTATCCTCTCCCTTCCACACATCTGCTAGTTCTTTTGCTTCTCACTGTGTAGACAAGCGAGAAGAGAGAGCACAGCCTGCGGGACTTCTCTGCCACATGCCGCCCCTCTCCCTCGGGGTCCCACTGCCCTAGCTGCCAGTGATAGTGTGTACCCTGCCCCCAACCGAAACAGGAAGCTGCACTAGTCCCACGCTGCTGGCTCTGTCACTCTGCTGAGAGCCCTCGCTGCCAACGGAGAGGCGTCACTGGGTGACTGCTTGGGACCTTTCCCTTGGTCCTCGGCATGAGAGCAGTGGGGGAGCCTTTCTTCTAGAGCTGAAAGGAAGAGGATGAGAAAGCTTCTGCCCTCCCACCTGACCCCGAGGCAGAGCTTTACAGCGGCAGCTCCTCCTCAGCCTACACACACACAGTCACAGCTCTTCAGGACAGCGGCTCTCGTGGCTCAGGGTCACGTGCTTAGTGTTCATCTTCGGCTCTGCCTGCCCAGCTCTTGGGTGATCTAGAATGGTGTCACATAGCCACCAGATCCAAGGGACAGTTGGGTACGCTAGGACCTTCATGTACCATTGCACAGGGTGTGAGCTTGTCGGCCCTGGGGTGTGCCGTTTACAATGGGGTGCACACGGCCCTGTATCCCCTGGCATTGTGCAGAGTGAAATCTCTACAAGGAGACAAGGCGAACTTGGTGGCAGCGTCAAAGGAATGCATGTCAGACTTGCCTGGGAGTCCCTGTGACACTGTTGCGAGGTTTTTCTGGGATATTTTTGCCTGGTTTCAGAAGGTCAGCAAGGCGCCTCACCTGCCCCTGCGCTGTTCTATGCTCAGAAGGTGATTGGATGGCAGAGCAGGCCTCCCAAGATGATTCAGGAGAGGGTGTGGAGTAGAGCCGCTGCTAGCACTACAGAAACTTTACGTCTTCAAAGAATGCTGTTAGGTTTTTGCTCTGAGAGCCCACAACTCGAGTATGAATATACACTCACTGATTTCATTTGTGTTCCACTGAAGAGTGGCAGAATTGAAGATTTTGTGGGTTTGATTGTCATAGAAACTTGGTAGTATTTCTTTCAAGCCTTTTTAAAAATTTCGAGACAAGGTCTCGCTAAGTTGCTAGGTTGCCCGGGCAGGGCCCAGAGTCACAGTCCTCCTGCCTCAGCCTCCCCTGAGTGCTGTAAGGACAGGCATGTGCCACCCCACGTGGCTAGTACTTCTTTTTAACTGATTTGACCTCAGGGTTTTTGCAAATTTCTTTTTTTTTTTTTCCATAATTTTATTGAGAATCAAATAGCAATGAGACAGTTTCAAATCAAATTGATAGGACAGTTTCAAGAATTAACACATTGCATACATTCTTCCTAGTGGTTAATTGCTGTACCAGATTCAGATATGATATCCTATTTACAAACACCATTAGAACAAATCCCTCTATTCATTAAGAGAATGTAACTATATATCTATCCTAACCATTTTGAATACACAGATACAAAATGGACATTCATCTGTATCCTCTTTTTTGTTTAGTTCTATCATTTGAATATTATAGGAATGTTAACTCAGAAAAATATTCTAAAAGAGTCCAGTGGTCCATAATAGTATTGGGTCTCCCGCTTGACTGGCAGTGTCAGAAATTGTTGACAAGAGTCCCCTACAGCTCAACATAACACCATGGCTTTACTTCTTATACTTCGTTTTTGTACTTTTCTGCTGCTTGGTTAAGACCAAGATAAAGCAAGACCTATGCAACAAAAGCTATAGCTTTTGGGTGTGATAAGGTCAGTGGAAGCCCCTCAGGATTTATCCTGAGATTCTGTACCTCAGATTGTAGAACCTTTGTCAATGTCAGCCATGTGGATGAGTCACGGCCATTGCTTGGCCAATGTGCTCTTTGTGAAAGCCTGAGAGAATGTATTCTCTCCGTGTGACTCTCCTTAGGCACACTCTACATCATCGATCACTTTCCTCTTTGGCTCCATAATCTCCTGGATCAGAAAATTTGGGACACTACCGAGGTGCATGACTTTATAGTACAAGTTCTCCTATGTCCTGAGTCTTAATTGACCTTGGAAAGCGAGGGCCAAAGTGTTGGCATTCCTTGCGGCCCTCCTTTTTCTCTAATTTTGGTCTGCAAACTTAGGTCGTTAACCATCCAGAAGACAAGCTTATTGTTATTACCATGCAACTTAGGCTGTTAAGCTTAACCTCACTAACTGTCTGAATATCAAACATCTTAGGCATAACATGGAACAGGTATTTTTCATCAAGTATTGATATGTTGAACTTTAAGTCCCTACAGAATATGATAAAAACATTTAAAAATTAGAATATATTTTTAAAATAGGCATAAAGATTTATATACTTATGTTTACACATAAGTCCAAAAATCTAACCATATACTACAAACTTGAAGCAGGACAGTCCCACAGTATTCCTTTTCCTGTCTCTTGCTTTCATTCACCACCCCCTTCTTTTTGAACATGCACATTTCTTTGGGCACTGTAGAACCCAAGAGTGGCCTGGAAGGTGTTTCCAAGCTAAGCTTGTACCTCTTCTGTGCTCCTGCTCTTCTAGCCAGAGTGACAGAAGTCTTTATGTTACCACCTAAGGACAGTAGGATTGCATCAAATGGTCATACCTGACCTATCAGACATGGTACATTCTGCAACGCCCAAGAGAAACGTGCTGAGTAGCATCATATTAGCTGCCCATGGTGTCACAGCGTTATCACCTTTGGGACTCTGCAACACTAGTCTAAGGAAATCAGTCCTACACCGTTTGCTCACTGGGGTCTTTTGCTCACTGCTGTGAGGTAGGCCTGAAGTTTAAAACAACAATAAGGCTACCTCCATGGAGTCTAAGTAGTGTTGTCAGTGCTCCTCCACCGGCGGTCCTCTTCCCGTTGGTACCCAGACCCTGTCCTCAGGGTTCGTTCTGTCCACACAACACTGTCCTTGGCCAACTGCATCCCTTTGTCTCCTGAACAGCAGCTCTCCCAAGGCCCTGGGCATGGATGGATGAGATACTATAGAAGTTGAGGTCTGAATTTTGGTTGAGTTTTACTTCGAGTCCCTGGATCAAGAGAACTGGGAGGCTCTTGGCTCTGGGTGTTTGTGTTTTGATTGCACACCAAGGCGCACAGTGCGCCCAAGCGTAGGCACCACCCAGCAGCCGCAGCTCACTCTGGTGCCGCCCTGCTGATGTAGGAGCTCACAGCTAGCCATGCAGCCCAAGCTCCGGGATCTCCTCTGAGGCTCCTTCCGAGTCCAGCCTGTTCTCCGGGTTTCTGTTCATCACTGCCTTTTTCCTTTGGTGTTCACCTCACTATACTGTGAGGGCCAGGCACTTCAGACCCGGAAGAGGCCGCCTTGCTATGGAGCCCCTGCAGCATGAGGCCTCATCCTCCCTAGCACACTGCTATGGTATCCAGGAGGGTCAGGCCCGAGAAGGTGAACGTTCTGAGTAATCCATCCCCTTTGCCCATGCAAACAGCTTCCTGCAGGACCGGGTGGTAAATAGTAGGTGGTAGAGCCTGTGGTGGAGGCTGCTCTGCTGTAGAGGGGCTTGGGAGGAAGAAATGGGTCAGTTTCCAGAGCACACAGTCGCACACCTGGCACCATATGTGGCAGGCTCTCCTAGCCGCTGTGCAGACAGCCCCTGACCCGGCATGGTTTGACTCAAGGTTTTTCAATGCTGTACTATAAAATGCATGTTTTATAGTACAGGGGCTTTGTGTACATGATGTTATAAAATAGGCTTTGTGTGAGCGATTGCGACCCCATGTATGTCAGTGAGTGCGTTCTGAGTGCGGTGTTCCTAGGTCAGGTGTGGTAACGTGCATTTCAGGTTGTGGTGTTTCTCACACTTGGTGGGTTTCTTGGGATACTCCCCTTGGTTGGTGGAGGAGCATCTGTGTAAGTCAGCAGACTTGGGGGAAACGTACCTTCTCCAGTGGGTGTTCCCGCAGCAGTCTGGAAAGGAACCCACATCATTCTTGTTCTATTTGGCTGCCTCCTCCAACTTTTAAGACCAAGAGCTGCTGCTCTGAGAAGCCACTACTGCAGCTGGCACTTCCTTAATGCCAAATAGGGACACTTTACCTTTTTGTGTGAGATGTGAGTGGGAGAAGTGGGGTAGCTCCCCAGAGATCTCTAACAATCACAGTGTTCCTTCACCTCAGAGGTCCACTCTCAGTGCTTCCTAGCCTGGCCCTGGGCCACCCCGCCCAGGTGCAGGTGAGAAGCCCTCTTCCACAGACCCTTCCTCTTCTCCCAGGAAGGTGCCCCTGCAGCTGAACACTGAGCTAGGACACTGAGGGCGAAGGGGGCAGGGCAGCCTGCTCCCTGCCTTCTCCTTCCAGGTGAGCTCAGATGCCCACCTCCTGGCTGTTAATTGAACTAATTCCCTGCTCTTCATCTGCTCATTTAGGGGAAGAAGAAGAAGAGGAAAAGGGACAAGCAGCCAGGCGAGACCAATGGTGAGTCACAGTGCTCGGGTGACAGAAACAGCAGTGGGGGTGGCGGGCGGTGCTCCTATGTCAGGCTTCCTTCTGGGGGAGGCAGGAAAGATTCAAGGCCAGGACACTGTGGGGGCTCCCATCCTAGCCAGGCTTTTGTTTATGCACTTTAATTAATTGCTTCACGACTGCCCTTTTAAAGCTAGTAACATCCATTGTTGCATGAAAAGCACATTGTAATTCTAGTGGAATGTGTTTTTAAATAACTGCAAAGCCTGTAACTGGAAAGCGAGCAGTAGGCATGCCTCTGCTGGGCTGCAGACAGTCTGCTTATACTGTGTGTGTCAGAGAAGGGACAGGGCCTAGGGGAGTAGGCGGGGGTGTGAGTGCTGGGCGTTAACTGGGCTGTTCCTGAATGTCTGATGCATGCCTTTACAGTGGTAAATTGCACCCATTTTAAATTAAGGAGGTTTGTCATTTTCTAGAAGAAATTAGAAATACTGCATAGGCAATCTGAGAGGTCCCTTGGAGAAGACCAGGCTTTTACAAACAAACAAAAATTTTGAAGGCTTTGTATAATTTGTTCTTTTTTTTCAGAACACAGCGAATGTTTCCTAAATCCTTGCCTTTCACTTCCTCCGATTACAGGTGCTAATGTCATTTTGAGTCATTAAAATAGTTGATAAACTGTTTTTTAATTTTTCTTGCCATTATAGTTTTATTAACATTAAACACATTTCTTTAAAATGACCATCTACACGGTTTCATGTTTCAGTAGATTTTTTTTTCAGTTGCTTTTGTTGCTTTTTGAATTTAATTTAACTTCTGTTTTGTTTATTTATTTATTTTTCCCATAACAGTTGTTTAAGCAGCGATGACAGTGATTTAGAGCTGAACTAACTGTGCAAATTGAATATGCAGTATTTCTTTAAAAGAGACTGGTAAAGGAAAAAAAAATGGAAGGAATTCAGTCATAAACCTCCTTAATCTAATGGCATTTTCTCATTGCCCCCGCTAAGTTTCTCATGCAAGCATGCGTCTGCAGTATGATTATTTTTTCCTTTGCTTTTTTTTTAACTTTAGTTTTTTTTCATCCTTTTGCTTTTCTGCTTCTAAACTGCAAACCCACTTGCATCTTACTGACCATGCCTGCTTCAGTGCTGCTGAGAGCTTCCGACTAACCCCTCCCCGCCCATTCACACAGCCTGCTTGCCTCCACCGTCCCTCTCCTAGTATTAATGGAAATAGATTTTTACAGAAAGATAAACATTCCAAAAGCTGCAATATCCCAATACCACAACCCTTTCTTTCTTTATTTCTTTCTGTTTCATTTTGTTTTGTTCTATTCTTTTTATTTGTAGTTATTTTCTTTTTTTTTTTTTTTAAACTGTTGTACTCTGAGAAGAAAAAAGCATGTTACAAACTTAATTCCCTCCTTTGCTTTATTTTCTTCTTTAAGAAAAAGAATATTGAGAGGCAAAAGTGGTGGGGGGAACTAAAACAGAGGAAAAATAATTGGCAAGAGTTCTTCGGCATCTAACTTCCCTTTGTCAGCTCGAACCAAATCTAATACACAGTCCTTAAAGAAGGGATACTGCAGCTTTATTTGCAACAGCTAATTTCACAAGTTGAATAAGATTGTGATTTTTACCATTTTTTAATTAAAGAAAGTTAAAAAACGAAAGTCAGTATTTTGCCTTTAGTAACCAGGTCATTGATTTATTCCCTTTTTTATTTTTATTTTTTTCTTATTTGTATCTCTCTCTCCCCCTCCCTCCCCTCTCTTTTTTTTTCCTCTCTCTCTCTCTCTCTCCCTTTCTCCCTCCTCCTCCTCCTCCTCCTCCTCCTCCTCCTCCTCTTCCTCCTCCTCCTCTGCTTGCTCCTTTCTTGAACTCATTCAGACCTGAGCGCTCCTAAGAAATGCCGAGCGCGCTTTGGCCTTGATCAACAGAATAACTGGTGCGGCCCTTGCAGGTGTGTATAGTCTCCCAGATTCGCTGTGCTGGTTTGCAGCTGGTCTCTTCCACCCCTCCCCCTCTCCGGCCTGTTGCTTCGTAGCTCTGTGTGTGGATCTAGGAGACACAAGGGAGCGGGGCGCTGCCACTGTGTGGGCTTGGCGAGCATTGTGCTTGTTTCCTGCTGCTGCTAGCCAAATGCCACTGTAAAACAGCATCACGTCTGCCTCCTCGGGCCAGCGCCTCCAGCCCCGGGCGCGCCCTCTCCCAGGGAATGTTGCCTGCCAAGCCCTTCCTTGTGACAGACAGCCCGGGATACTTGTCCTGGCCTAGGTAGAAGCAAATGACGTCACTTTCTCCCTTCCTCTTCTCTCTCTTTTTATTTATTTTTCCGCTGTTGTTTTTTGGTTTCTGGTTGTTGTTTTTGTGTGTGTGTGTTTTATCATTTTGTTTGATTTTGTTTTCGTTTGAGTCATAGAAGTCCTTTCCTTTCATGCCCTTGGTGAGGGACGCGTCCCTGATAGAGCCAAGGTGAGGTAGAAGACAAGCGCTCTGTAGCTAAGACGCCGCCGTCCAACTGAGCACGCCCCGCCATTGTGTTGTGTTTTTGTGTTTACCTTATGCTAACAGATGCAAATACTCCAAAGAAGTGTCGGGCACTGTTCGGGCTTGACCGACAGACTTTATGGTGCAAACCGTGCAGGTATATGACCACTGCGAGGCCTTTGGGAATCAAAGCCTTCTGCCCTCTGCTATCTTAGTGTGGTGGTTTATTTTGACTTCTTTCCCATCTACTTCTCCCACTGGCATCAATGACTAATGAACCCCATGCTTCAGATTTTTCTTGCTAATTTCATGCTGTGTCCTCTCCCCACTTTCTCATTCTTTCCTCCCTGCCCTTACAAATGATACACAGTGTATATATCCCTGGCAGGACTGGAACCACGACCCTAACCTGGGCACTCGCCCTTCACATTTGAGAGCCCACATCCTGGGCTGGCCCTGGCTGATAGGAGCCTCGCTGGCCTGCGGGCAGAGCCTAAAGAGCCCCCTTCCCGAGTTCACCCCTGGCAGTGAGCGCATTCCTGTGCTCTCGGGTCTGGGCTCTCGGAGAAGCAACCCGGGGCCAGGTGCCTTCCTCGCCCCGCTTTTATTTGATTTGGCCTCTTTGGTGGTTTTATGTTTGAAAACAGCCGCCGTCTGTACAGAGGAGCTTGGTTAGCTGACATTGTTTTATAGAAGCGTGGCATTGAGTAGCATGCACCAGCTAAAGGGCTGCAAATAGTGGGGCCTGCAGATTTAAAACACACATACATATAAATTGGCACGTATGGAGCGGTGAACTAGATCTACCGAGAGCCAGATCAATCCCGAGGAGTCCCAATGAAGCGCTCCTTCCCCCAGCCCGCAGGTTCCGCGTAGCCTGCTTCCTCAGGGAAAGCGTAGGTACCTTCTTCTCGGTGGAGGGCTGCCCTCTCGGTCCTATCTGGTTTCCTCTCCTTTAATGACCACCTTCAGTTAAATTTGTTGTTTCTTTGTTCTGATACAAGCAGTCTTTGAATTTGGAGTATTCTGATGGTAGGTATCTCGACACCCAAACACATGTCCCTGTTTGTGGTGCTTCCTTGTCACGTGTCCCTCTCCTCCATGCCTTTGCCATGTGCTCCGTGTCTAGACGCTAGATCAGATGTTCATCCCATCACGTGCATGCCCACGCGTCTGCTGTGGTGTCTCTGATCCCCTTCTGGTGCCAGGGTGAGAGCCAGTGAAATGTGCCTCCCGTAGTGCGGAGAGGGCCCGAGGGTGTCTGCACACAGGGCCACACGCACACCCTTAGGTGGCCGGCCACTCAGCAGGAGAGCAATGAAGCGCAGCGTTCACGGGGTGACACGTGTCCATTCAGCGCATTCCTGGCCCACAAAAAGGACTGCACACCCAAGCTGACAGGACTTAGGAGGAGCCAAGCAGAGCCAGGCTTGTGCCTCTTCTGTGGCAGGCAGGGAAGCTGTCAGCGCCTTGTGTGCACGAGGACAGGGAGCCTTGTCCAGATGCCCTGTGTGGCAGATGCTGGCCAGCCCCGGGGAGCTGCCCCAGGGACACTCCCTGTGACCTCTAGAGGCATAGCCCGCTGCACAGTAGGCTGAGGCAGTGCCCACTTCGCTCTACCCCAAGGGTGGCTGGTAGCTTATGAATCTCGTTCTTGTTTCAGAAACTATTGCAATGACTTACACTTGGCTGTTTTTTTAACCTTCCTAGAAGTAATTATTAACTGTAACCGGACAGTCCTCGTCTCCTCAGGTCCTCTGCCACTTTGCTTAAAGCCTAGGATGGGTGTCTGCCTCAGACACCAGAATTTTCTTAGTATTTTCACAAAAAAAGAAAGAGGTCTGTCAAACACAAACCCACGTAGCTGTTTTGTGTGTTCGCCTGTGCTTTTCTGCAGTGCAGCTCTGAGGGGCTGGCAGGGCCACGACAGGAGCCCTTTGGTGTCCTTGAGGCCCGCGGCCCCTGCTCTTCCTCAGACCCTCACCCTTCCCCAGCCCTTTTTTCATACCATGATACCCTGACCTTTTGTTATACCATGATACATTGGCCAATTTGTAGGTGTCTTTCCAGAGCAGAGTCAGGAGGAAGGTTTAGTTAGCTTTCAGAATGAATACAAAAGCTAGAGCCCCAGGTCCCTGCTGGAGGTGGGCCTAGGCAGGGGAGCAGGAATATGAGTTTTGGACAGGCAGCTGCCTGTTCCCTTCTCCCAACTCTTCCTTTCAGCTTTGCTATGACCATGTCTTGCTTCATGCTGAAATCAATAGGACCAAAGACTTTTAAAAAAAGAAGAAAAAAAAAATTAAGAAGGAGTTGCAAACCGAGACTTTTTCCAACTCGTCAGAAGTACATGTGTGTTCCAGCTGCCCTTTGCTTGGCCCTGTCCGGGGAGCATCATGCTGTCTTCATAGTCTCCGTGTCCAGTGTTCAAAATGCACCCCATCCCCATGATTTGGAAACAACCACACCATAAGGAGGAGGTTGGGAGGGCGTGGAAAGCCCCAGAAGCACTCCTAGCCAAGCAGGGCTCCTAGCTGGCCACACAGCGTTTCTAATTCTATTTGGCATTCGAGGACGTTTTAGCCAGACTCTGTTTTGAGCCCACCAAGTTGCTTTCCCCTCCTTTCTCTCTGCCTCATGGAGCCTGGAATGCTGCTTGATGCATCCTCCTGGTTGTCCTCCCTTTCCTCCTTTACTCTCTCTCTCACTTTTCCCTGTTGCTTTCTCACTTTTGCCTATGCCCTCTCCCACCTCCTCTTTTCTGCACCCCATTTTTACAATGCATGGACATCTTAGTTTTTGAGCATGTTTTGATCTGCAGGCTAAAGGTGACTTCAAACAGAGGCTTGATGACTGTTTTCCTTTGTTCCTGAACCCGTAGCCTAGGCCAGTCTGTCCCAGGGAGGAGGAGAAGGAACTCTACCGCTTTCCCAGAGTTCTTCTGGGCACAGGAGGACCTGAGGTGTCCGGCCCCAATGGGTGCAGCCCCTGCGAGGCAGGAGGACCGCACACACTGCCCTCCACCCTCCCCTCCTCTGTCCTCCTGCCGTCTGCACAGTTCATGCTAAAATCTGATGGGCATAGCAGATCGCTCTGGGGCTCAGATGAGAGCAGGAGCTCCGCAGCCCCTTCCCTCAGAGGCCAGTGCCGATGCCCAGCAGTGGCAGCCTTCGTGCAGGCAGCATCTTGGCTGCTCCGCCGCAGCAGGAAGCTGGCCAGCGCGCTCGCTCTCATGCGCAGATGGTGCTCTGCACCACAGTTCTGACTGTGCCTCAGGGTCTTGGGATGGCACATCCCCGAATCTGCAGGATTTTTATAGCATTAGTCAGTCGATCGCCAGGATCTCCCTTCCCACCAAGTAGGATCCCATTAGGCTGGGATTAATGGTGGGAGAGGCTTTGAAGTCACATGCCCAACTTCTTGAGTTGGTTTTCCTGACCTCACCCTTTGATGATAAGGAAGAAAGGCTGTGTCACTCACATTCCCGTTTCTTACACGAACAGGCAGTGGAGAGGGCGCTTCTGGTTTTGGCACGAGGCAGGCAGTCTTTCTGGCTTAGACACTAGTCACAGGAAGCCCAGCCCAGCAAGGTCCGTGCCGCGGTGCCCTGCATTCTCCTTGGTCCTCACTCGCTGTGCCCTCTACTTGCTGGGACAAGAGCAAGATGCACCCCCTCCATCCCATCCTCACTGCTTCTCCTTCCAACCTTCTCACTAGGGGGTGGGAGAGGGGAAGCCCCAAATCTTTCAAACAAACAAACAAAAAAAAAACCCCAAAAACTAAAAAATCAACTTTGAATCATGATTTAATCCGCAACCTGCAGGCCATACAACCAGTTATTCTTGTTCCTTTGGATCATTTTCTGTTTTTCTCATTCTTCCCCTCCCCCACTTTGTTTATCTTCTTCTACCTGTTTTTGGTGGTTTTTTGGTTTTGTTTTGTTGGTTTCATTCTTTTTGGTTTATTTTGTTTTATTTTTGTTCCCCACCTCCCCTGTCACCTGATTCTGCCCTCTTGATTTGGTGTGGTTCTTAACAGACAAGCCCGCAAGCTCTCTGGGCGCCCGCAGCCTCCCGGTGGTGGTGTGTTAAAACCTTAAGCCTCTTGCTAGTGCTGCCTTCAGCTATGTGGGCTCAACAGTCAGCATTTTGAGAGTTTCATATTGATAAAGAGGCGGCTGGGGAAGGAGCTCTGTCTTTCTCTTTTAAACACATACAGACACACGCACGCACGCACGCATGCACGCACACACACATGCACATCAGCCGGGGCTGGGGGTGGCAGCGGTGGGAACTGGGGAGGGAAGGCGAGGAAGTGCTGTGGGAAAGTGAAAATAAGTCCAAAGAGCAGTATGCTTTTCTGTTCTCCCTTTGGACCACGCCACTTGCCGGCAAGCAGTACCACCATCTGCAGGTGACTGCCTTCCATCTGCTCATTTATATTTGGGCAGGGGTGGGACTGTGGGTGTCCTGTGGGGGTAGGGCAGTAGAGTGGGGTGCTCTCTTCAATGTTCATGTGGCAGAGCAGCTGCAGACAGGGGTGTGGTGAAGGGCCTGCACTGAAGCAGTGTCACCTGTCCCCGGGCCTGCTGAGCAGCGGGTGCCCGTTAGGTGGCTTGGGCTTGGCCGTGGGCATGAGATAACCTCTCCCTTGACATCTTTGCCCTTTATTCACAGATAACTCTCTCCCCCTGTTTCTAGGAGAAAAAAAAAGTGCGTTCGCTACATACAAGGTGAAGGCAGCTGCCTCAGCCCACCCTCTTCAGATGGAAGCTTACTAGACTCGCCTCCCCCCTCCCCACACCTGCTAGGCTCCCCTCCCCAAGACGCCAAGTCACAGACTGAGCAGACCCAGCCGCTCTCACTGTCCCTGAAGCCTGACCCCCTGGCCCACCTGTCCATGATGCCGCCACCGCCCGCGCTCCTGCTGGCCGAGGCCACCCACAGCAAGGCCTCCGCCCTCTGTCCCAACGGGGCTCTGGACCTGCCGCCCGCCGCCCTGCAGCCGCCCATCGCCCCATCCCCGTCGCTCGCACAGCCGTCAACATCTTCCTTACATTCCCACAACTCGCTGGCTGGGACGCAGCCCCAGCCGCTGTCCCTCGTCACCAAGTCTTTAGAATAGCTTTTAGCTTCGTCAGCCCTGCTTGGTTTGAGTGTGTTGTCCTCGGTTCTCGGTTTGCGCCTCCCCCACCTGGAAGGGTTTTGTTTTGTACTCTTAATTTTGTGCCACGTGGCTACATGAGTTGATGTTTATCGAGTTCATTGGTCAATATTTGACCCATTCTTATTTCAATTTCTCCTTTTAAATATGTAGATGAGAGAAGAACCTCATGATTCTACCAAAATTTTTATCAACAGCTGTTTAAAGTCTTTGTAGCGTTTAAAATAAAAAATATATATATATATATACATAACTGTTATGTAGTTCTGATAGCTTAGTTTTAAAAGACTGATTAAAAAACAAAAAGAAAAAAGAGAGAGAGAAGCAATTTTGAAGCAGCCCTCCAGAAGGAGTTCTGTATTATTTGTATTAAATATGAGCTTGCGAACCAATCATTTTACACCTGGTTTTTAAACCGTAAGGGCACGATGAATGCAGTGCTGTTACTTTTTTTTTTTTTTTCTGTGTGAAACAACTTTTATTGTGATGTTACTTGTTATTGTTTAAATGTACAGAAACAAAGGGTTAAAATGTGTTAATATACCTTGTTCCATGGTGTTGTTTTTTGGGGGGAGGGGGATCCTACTCAACAATTAATGGAATCACAGCGCTGTTGGACCAGTAGTATTTATTGCTTTAGAGATTGCTTGTTGTACCTGTTCATTGTCCCCTTTTAAAGTATGTTTTCCTTTTTCTCAAAACTGTATAAAGTTTTTTTCCCCTCCCCTTAGCATAAGCATCTTATATATAACAACTCATTTGTATAAGGTTTTTAAGTTTATATATAGAAACGTGTATATATTTTTTTGTTTCCCTTTTTGACCTCCTTTTTGTTTGTTTGTTTCTCTGTATGAAACCCAGACGCCACCAAATGGACATTGGTAGTTGCATTAAGGATCAGTAGCATTAACAAAAGTTGCTTTCAAAGCCATTACGTGAACAAGACTTGAACGTCAGTGAGGGAACCTCAGCGGCGCTGTCTGAGCCCCCGTGGGAACTGCCCTGTTCCCCTCCTGAACTCCTAGTCAAACGCCCTGCGCCCTTAGGAACATGGACTGACCGTGTGCAAAACTCTATGTGCCAAAACTCTCAGTGACTTTAGCTTTCCCTCTTTTTGATGCTGTACTTTCTGTTCATCATGTTTTGCTGTGATGTTACATAGGTAGATTTGTATGTAGTTTTAATGTCACCTATAACAAAATGTGTTTGGTAGCAGATTGTCCAGAAAGCATTTTAAATGAAGAGGTATAAACCCTTAAGGGCCAAAATTCTGTATATTAGATTACTCTTAAAGGAAAAACCAGCTGCCGCTTCTGTGTACCCATATTACATACAAGTAGGTAGCGAACTTTAAAAATAAAAAAAAAACCTAGGCATGTTGATGTTGCAAAATGCTGTATAAAGCTAAAACCTGTTCATTCAGTGCCATTGTAGTTGACATGAAGCGATTGTAAAACTGTCTCTGATTTCTCTCTGGTTTATTAAAATGCTAACTATAACATTTTTTTGTGAATACTTTGAATGTTTCCTAACGGTTGTGATGTTACTGTTCTGTTTTATGCTCTTATTCCAAGTTCATTTTTAATGGTTTGAAAGCCATTTTTGTAATGAATAAATGTTCATGCTGTACAGTATCTGTAGCATGCCGTTCTGGATTAATAAAAGCAACTTAGTATGTGCAGAGAGAGGCTGGTCACTTGATTCTGTGGTTTGGACTGTTCACTGCCTTGGAAACTGGACCTGCCCTCACTGGAAGCAGCGTGTTTCCCTGCGAGGACTGACTGGGAAGCTAGTGTGTGTGGGGCCGGTGGCCAGGGAGTGACTCCTGTCTCCTTCCCTGAGGTCCAGCTGGCGTGGCTCGTGCACCTGGTCTGTATCATGTGTCACCTGTGGGTCACCTAGTGGGAGATCCTGGGGTGTCATTCCTCATATTCATCTCTGTCACTCTCAGTCATTCAGTTCTGAAAGCAGAGCTCAGTTGCCGAGCAAATGTCACTTGTTTGGCTATCACAGCAGTTAATATGATAGATCCTATTCATCCCTCCCACAGTATTGAGCAGAAAGGATTTAATTCTGGTGAATGAGACTTAGGGAAGGGAGACCTAAGAAGCTGCGTGGTTCCCACTTTTGGGCCCTGATGCAGAAGCATCGTGACTTCTCAGAGCTGCCTGCAGGGAGCGACGGCCGCGTGTCAGGTTGAAACCCTTTCTGCAGCAGTGAGCAATTACTGAGCAAACAGCTTGTTTATAAAATTGGATTGATGGATTCGCCTAGCAGTGTGAAGGGGGCTTGCTGTCTGTGGGACCCAAGGACCTGGCTGTGCCCCCAGCAAGATTGTGAGGTCCCCACCCGCTAGGGCGGCTGCAGTAAGGACCTTCCCGTGGCTCCCGCCAGGTACTTCTCTCGCTGATGGGGTGGATGGATGGTACCCTGTTCCATTTATGTAGGACATCGGTGTCTTCAAAGGATACTGATTTCCGTTCCTGGTGCTGTTGTGGCTTATGGTGACCATGGTGTCTCAGCAAGGACTTCAAAGCCCCCTGAAAGCTGCTTTGCTAGAGCTCATTTTTGTTCTGTGAACTTCCCGTGTTTTGCATTCACTTTACTTTGTATTCCAGTGTGGAGTGTTTCTGGTTGTCCCTCCTTGTTTTATTCTACACATGGGGTGCAGAATGACCTTTGCAACTAAAAATAAGAATGCTTCGTGGTGCCATTGTACCAAGCTGTCCATGCCTTTCTCATTGAATCCTAATGCTGCTGCCCGAGGGTGGTACTGTCCTCTGCTCCCTGCCTGATGCTCTAAAAATGGACTTAGTAACTCAGCTTATAAAAGTCCTCTCCTGAGGCCACAGTAGTAGGTGGTGGAGTTGGGACATAAATGGGGACCTGACTCCGAGTCACAAGCTCAACACTAAGTAAAATGACACTTAGAGTCGAGGTGGCTCTTCCACACCCCAGCAGAAGTGACAAGACAGTCCTTCCAAGGGTGCCCTTCTTTCTTTTCCTTCTCTGGCTTGCTCCTCCTCAATTCCAGGGAGCTTCGCTACCTACAAGCACTGTTGCCCTTTCTGCATGGTGCCCTGTGCCCATGTTTCAGTTCTCAGTGTGGGCGTCACTTCCGCGGCATCCCCATATTCTCCATCCAGCCTTTCCGCTCTAGAAGCTCACTGTTCACCACTTTGCGATGGGCGATGCCGGCCTAGGTCCCTCAGGTGCAGCCTTTCCCAGGCTCAATGCTGTGGCCATTGGAGGATGGGTAATTCTTAGTGTGGGGGCCTCTCCTCTATTGTAGCACATTCAGCAACGTCTGGCCTCTGGTGCTAGATGCCAGTGCCACCTTTCCTCAAACCTCCATGGTAATCAGAGATGTCCTCGCATGTCCCCCAGGACAGCAAAGTCATTTCAGTGGACAGCCTTTTCTCTAGAGAGCCTCTGAAAGGACAAGAGTGGGGCTTTGTGTCTACTGCGGTAGACAAGGGCCAGGTTGTGTTGGCCACTTGGTGGGTGCTCCATAGATACTTGTTGAAGGAGGAAGAATTGCGTTGGCCAACTAGATGTGCGTATCATGAGAAGCAGAGGGGTGGAAACATCCCATGGCACTCCCCGATTTAGCGCTGCCACAACTGAGCATGCCCTTCTTCACCTTTATCCATGCTGGAATATAACTGAGTGTCCTTGTTAGGGCAAAGGTAGTCCCCAGGTCATCAGCCAGCCCGGGGCAGATCTCCCGCCAGGATTTAAAGTGCATTCACCTGCCCACATGTTCACCTGCCCTACACAGCTGGATCTGTATTTTGAGGCTCTTCTTTCCACCTAAATACGGAACTTCCTTCTCTCAGGCTTTGTCGTGTTATCAGCAGGCCAAGTTGTAGTCTCCCAAGTGCTGGGCTACGTCCTGTCCTTCATCGCTTCCTTTGTACATCTGTTTGATGTCTTCCTGCTCCAAGAGTTTATTTTCAGATGGCTCATTTTCCAATTTTGTCTAGGGAGTGGATTTGTGGATTTTTTGTTACTAAGAGACCTTGAGACATCATCTAGGAGACTGTCACTCTCCTAGCCACATGGTTCCTGGCTGATGGGTCATAGCCAAGTACATCTGGACACTTGGATGTGTGTTTCCTGTGGCTGCTGTAACAAGTCACACAAGCTTGATAGTTTAAAACAACAGAACCTAGTCTCTCACTGCCCTGCAGACCAGAAGTCCAAAGCCAAGGCTAGCACAGGGCTGTGCTCCCTGCAAAGATGGCATTGGATGAGTGCCTGTTCCCTCCCCTTTCAACTTCTGCCTGCTGCCTGCAGCCCTTGGCATTTCTTGGGTTGTAGCCACGCCACTCCAGAGGCTACACGTGATGGTTCATCAGGCCTACCTGGATAGTCCTGGCAATGCCCCTTCTCTTCAGATCCTTAATAACATCTTTGGCTGATAAAGTAATACAACCTAGTAATATAATTTCTCTGCTTAGGATCTGGATGTATAATTTTGGGGACCACCATGCAGCCCAGCTTGCTGGTCCTGGGACAGTAGTGGAGTTAGCATGGACCCCTGCAGGATGGGAAGCTGTCCCTCTGTCCATGGTGTTCTTGGATAGTGCAAACATGATTCTTATAGTGTGGTTTTCTATTCCAGATACATTGTCAAAGATTCATGTTTAGTCTGATGGGTCAGAAGGGCCTTTCATCCAGATCTAGGACTTCAGCAGAGGACCCAGCTGGAGGCAGTGGAGTGAGGCTGAGCTATGAGGGTCCTGCACCTTGCTGCCTTGGATAATTCCTTTATCTGGAGGTCCTGCTTCTTGGGGTAACAGTTGGTGAGAGTTATACTGATTTGGACACATTCTTAGGAGATCTAAAGTGCGGAGTGCCTAGAATGATGTCATGGTGTTTATTGTGGTCACAAAAGCTGAAGGCTGGTCACCTGTATGTCTTCTTTATTTCGCTTAGATTCTCTGAGCTCAGCTCTTCATGCCAGAGTTAAAGAACCTCAGAAATCTAGATGTGGAAGGCCCGTGCCCATGGCCCAGAGACCTAGTGACTCAACCAGGCTGTTCATTTCACCTGAAACTTAATGGTCCTCTGAAAATGACCTCCACTCTTTGGGGAGCACAGTGCTGGATGGGGTGCTTTCAGTGGCATAGTAATGAGTTTTTAATTAAAGTCCTTTGGAAAGAGACTAAGGAGTAACGTAAAAGTCTCTTGTGAATGGGGCCTGAGGCAAGTGACATGGATCAGAGCGGGATTGCTAATGAACAGGGCAACAGGTGTGACTTCCCAAAGGATTCCTGTCTGAAGTTGGCTGCTGCTTCCCCCACAAGATGTGGTTCACCCCAAGGCTTGGGGCAGAGGGAAGGGTCTGTTGTGAGTTCTGGTGAAACGGACAGGTAGCACTGCCAGCTCTGCTCTGAAGCCGCGGCGTCTGTGAGCAGGCCCATCCATGCTTCCTTGCGCCTTCCATGCAGCGACCATCGCCTGGGCTCCTCCTTGCACCAGGTGTGCTTGTAGGCACTGGCCTGTGAGTGAAGGAAGCCAGCTTGGCTCTCCTTCCTTTCTCTGAGCTCGGTCATGAGCTGTCTTACCGGATGCAGTTTTGAAAGGGTTTTGTGTAAGGATGATGAAAGAGGATGTGCTAAGAACTCTGCCTGCATTTCTCATGGAATCGTCCTGGAGGACAGAGATTGCTTTCATTTTTATTTTAAAGGGGCAGAAAGTAAGGCTTAGGGTAAGTAGCTTCTCCACAGGCAGATGTAGTATTGAGGGAGCCAAACCTAAGATCTGCCGGAGCCTGCAGAGCTGTACCATGCATGCCACAGGCCACCTAGGGGCCAGGGCCAGGTGGAGGGCAGGGCTTGCCAGGGGGCTTTGGGGCCAGGTAGAAGCTTGTGCTACAAGACAACCAGGT